GGCGCTTCACTTTTATGTTACTTATAACGGGCGCTATAATATATGGATCCTAGGTCTGACATAGAATATTCTGTGATCCTGGCCATATAGAAAGTTACTGTCTTCAGCAAAGTTGTTCAAGTGTCCAAGTCCTTTCCGATGGTGGCCACATTAGTTCAGAACTCTCTCACTACGCAGCGCTAATGTAAACATGAGCTTGCTATATAAGCTGTATCTCAAAATCCTGGCGATATAGAAGGTTACTGTCTTTAGCAAAGTTGTTCAGGTGATAATGTCCTTTTGTATGGTGTTCATATTAGTTCAGAGCTCTCTCATTATGCAGCGCTAGTGTGCATGTAAACTTCCTATATAAACTGTATCTCGAGAACCTGACCATATAGAACGTTACTGTCTTGAGCAAAGTTGTTCAGGTGACCAAGTCCTTTCGGATGGTGGTCATATTTTTTTTTTTAAGAACTCTCTCACTACGCGGCACTAGTGTGCACATGAACATCCTTAATATGTTATGTCTGGAAAGCTTGTCCATATAAGATGTTGCTGTGCAATGAGAGGACACGCAACGGAATAGGAAAGACTTGTAGAGAGGCTGTTAATCGATTTCGGACGCCATTTTAAAATCCAAGATGGCGGTCATCGGTTCAAGAAAAACTGTCAAATACCCTACAAAATGGGCCTTTGCTGGAGGTAGTTTCGGGTGATTTTTACAAGATGTGGTGGAAAGTTGAAGTTACAAAGCTTGTACACAAGTCCGTCATGCCAGACAATGTCAAACGCTTTTTCAACGTCTAACAATGCCATGGCTGTGGACTTGGATACAGCTTTGTTACTTCGAATGCTATTCATCACCCGAACTAGCTGGTGATTTGTGGAATGCCCCTTCCTAAACCCAAACTGTTCAGGTAGGAGAATGTTGTTCTCCTGGACAAAGTTGAGTAAACGATTGAGAATTAGTTTCTCGAACAATTTGCTCAGCGCTGAAAGGAGGCTGATTGGTCTGTAGCTGGAAGGTATTAATGGATCCTTGCCGGGTTAGCGGATTGGTATGATTTTTGCTACCTTCCAGATACTTGGAAAGTAGTGCAGTTCCAAGCATCTATTGAAGATAGCAGTCAAGAGCGAGTACACTTTCGTGCTCAGCTTCTTCAATACCAAGTTGAATATACCGTTAAACCCGGGAGCCTTCATGTTCTTGGTGTTTTTCAGCGCTGAGCAAATCTGCTCCACTGTAATATTTTCTGCCGGAGAGACGACACAAGAGGAGGCATCCAAGTTTTGAACACATTGTGAAACCTGATTTTCAAGCGGACTTTGGATGATGGAGCCAAGTAGATGCGACGAAGCAATGTGGTTGCCAATCGGATTTGCTTTCTCCTGCGGGGTGATTTTGAGCCGATCGTCATCATTTTCGACTCTAAGAGGTGGAACGGGTTTGGAATGAGTTTTCAGCACCTTGGCTACCTTCCAGAATGGACGGGAGCGGTCATCCAGATTCTGGACAACACGCCCGAAACTTTCATTTCGAAGCGAGTCCATTCTGGAAGCAATCTGCCTGTTCAGATCGGCCATTTCATGTTTTTTGCTCAGATCTCCAGTCCTCTGAAACTGGCGTCTACGCACATTTCTCAAACGAATCAGTAACTGGGTGTGGGAATCAATGCCAACAAACTTACCCCTCACAGGAACTTGTCGAACACACTTCTCGTCAGCCATGGATATGGCCTGGTGGACTCCTTCCAGAGCCCGGTCGATGTCCTCTACGGTGTCAAGCGGCGGATTTTTGTTAATGTTCCGGTCAACCACACGTCCAAACTGGACCCAGTTTACGTGGTGGTAGTCTTTTCGTAGGATTGGAGCAGGAGCTATGTTGATGCCGACGTCAGCCACCATCGGTTGGTGATCGGAGCTTAAGTCATTGATTGCCACCGGCTTGGATAGCCCGAAGTTCGTCAGGAAGAAGTCCAGCGTGGAAGGGTTTCCCGCCGGAAAGATGAATGTCGGTTCATCCGGAAATTGCACCGTATACAGCCCATGCTGCGAGTGGTCGAATAGTAGTCTACCGTTCTGGTTCCGTTGGTAGTTGCACCATGCTTCGTGACGAGCATTCAGATCGCCCCCAACAATGAATCGGGAGCTCGTGCGAGTGATAGCGGTGAGGTCGTTCTTGAATTTTATCCTTAGTCCTTTGCTGGCAGCACACTGACGAGGGCAGAATACGACGATGGACCCGACGTTTCCGGTTGGTGATTCCACATCCACACTAAGGGCCTCGATGATAGAAGTGCGGATATGCGGCAGCGTGCAGAACTTGATTCCTTTCTTGATGATGATTGCAACACCACCCCCCTGGTGTCGATACGATCAAGCCGGATAATGTGGTGATCAGGCAACCAAAAGCTGTCACCGGATTTAAGATGGGTCTCTGTTAGGAGGCCCACGTCGATACTATGCTTGCGGAGGAAGTCAGCAAGCTCGATTCTTTTTGCTCTTACAGAGCATGCGTTTCATGTGACGACAGTTATCGGTTTAGACACCATACTGAAATCCTGGGAAATCCTCCACTCTGAATGCCGGCGTATTGTCCTTCTTACGTCCTGGTTGATTTCTTGGGGACGCCTGCTTTCGGATCCGCTTGAAATCTTCGCGTTTGGTGCACTGTTTGTCGGACCCTTGATGAGCGCCATCACAGTTGGCGCATTCCCAAGCAACATTGCAAGTTTTATTGAGGTTTTATAGCATTCTACAAGTTTAAATCATGGTCTACAGAACCCTTATAAAACCAGAATTGTTACTTGGGTTTGGCAATGCACAGTGGTCCAGAATGCAGATTTAGGTGGAATGATATGTTTTGAGCCTGAAATTGGAACTTTAGACTAAAAGTCTTTTCTACAAAGTTGTTTCTTATAGTTAGGCCCTCATTTTTATGACAATGAATTCTAGGGTGGTTCCTATTATCATTAAAATAAAAAAAATAACTTTTTTGTTTGAATAAATTAAGGTATACATTCTTCGGCAAAGTTATAGTTTAGCTAATTTCAAGCAACTTTGTTCTACATAACTTTTTTCTATCTCTTAAATTGGCCGATTTAGAGCTATTTTCTTGAATTGAGTTAGGGTGGAAAATTCTCATGAAAGTTATCTTCTAGAGACTTTTAAAACTCTTTAAGACGAATGTTTTATAACTGAATTTGTTGCCTGTATCTCTTCTAATAAAAAAATATATACTCAAATATAGTAAAAAATATGAATAAATTCAAATTGATTTTATACGAGTTTAAAAAATAACATTCTTCCAATTTTCTCATATTATTGAGAATAACATACGCCCTTTAAAATGCTGTAAAAAAAACTTTTTTTTTTGTTTGCCCCAACCAGAGATATTAACATTTGAAAAGTGCATATTTTTAGTATAAAACGTCAATAACTCTTGATCGGCGAAAGATATTGACAAGCTTTGTGCAGCAAAAATTCGCGCCTTTTATGATCTGAAAGTTATCGCAAGACACCTTTGCTGAGAAATTGGAAATAAGAAAAATAGAGCAAAAAAAACTGTTTTTTAAGAGCCACCCTAACTCAATTCAAGAAAATAGCTCTAAATCAGCCAATTTAAGAGATAGAAAAAAGTTATTTTCAACAAAGTTGCTTGAAATTAGCTCAGCTATAACTTTGCCCAGAAATGTATAACCTAATTTATCCAAACAAAAAAGTTAGATTTTTGATTTTAATGATAATAGGAACCACCCTAGAATTCATTGTCATAAAAATGAGGGCCTAACTATAAGGAACAGCTTTGTAGAAGATACTTTTAGTCTAAAGTTTAAATTTCAGACTCAAAACATATCATTCCACCTAAATCTGCATTCTGTACCACTGTGCAATGGTCAATGTTTTTATTTTGTTTTACTTTTGCAGAGTTTTGTTATTTCAAGAATTATTCATTGAGACTTGTTTTTATAGCTCTTGTATGCTCAAATAACCTCGATTATGTAGCTAATTGATTCTTTATTTAAATTGTGGATTCATTAAATAGGTAAAGTTGAGTTCAATCATATCGAATTCGTTCGTGGAACATTGCGATCTAACTTCAAAAAATTTCCATAAAATGCTTGAAAATTTTGAGAACTTTGTAAGACTTCAAGGAGGTTTCCACATGTTCAATAATATTTGTGGATGTCTAAGAACTAAGAGAGATAGAAAATATGGCGTTTGGAATAAATTCAGGGAACTTCGTAGAAGTGGAGGATATTTTGTAAAACTTATGGGAGTTTTGTAGATGTTCGAAACGTTGCATAATATACAGGATATTCTTTCAGACATCCTTCCTAGACAGCAGGAAATATTCAAAAGATGTCCATATAGACGAAGATATTAGTATTCTCTGGATATTTTTCCTAGACTTCAGGTTGATCAAGTTCTGATAATCTCCAACTGTTTAAAAATTCAAATATTCTTTCAATACTGTAGGTTGTTCAGGGAGTATTCATAAGTTTTCCAGCTAATTCTGATGGAATCTTGAATGATGAATCTACATGGGAACAAATCCAATCTCTGAAATGAGATAAATGACTCATAATTCCATGAACATAGCGTGTTTTCATGTTATTAAAATACACCATGAATAGTATTGATGATATCATGAGCTATTTTTTCATTACGCAGCCATTCATTCTATTTGAAATCATGAATTTATCTCCAAAACGCGTCACAAAAACTATTACCGTAGTGGTAAGCTTCGCGTTAAAGGCATTTAAAGCAATTAAAGAAAGTCGATCCATGCAGATAGCACTTTTTGAAATGTTCATCTTGAATTGTTGCACGGCGCACACAACGCAGCAACCAGCAAGATTTGGCCAGTGAAATTCTCAATGAATCATCTGACCAAACCACATCACGCATCATTAAGGAAAAAAATAATAATAATACCAATCAAAAAGGACACACCTTCTGCCCGCGACAACATCAACAAAAGCGCACAAACAATAGCCAGCTAGACAGGTACTCACCCTCCGCTGCGGTATCCGCCTGGTGCTTCCACTGCTAAAGGTAAATTGGGCAAGACTATTCCTGGAAACATTGAATTTCACGGGGAGAGAGAATAAAGAACAAGACAAAGAAAATCAGTGCGCGGAAAAAAACATGAAAAATGCTTCCATCAGAAATTGAACGAAAAATTTCGGGTGGAAAATTAATGGGATTTTCATTGAGCTGTTCGTTGGTTGTTGTTATTGTTGTTGTTGTTGGCACGTTGTAAACAGGATTTGCGTTTCTCCGGATTGCTTTATTTTGAAAGTTAATTCCAGACCAAACTGAATGAAACAGAACATGCTTAAGCCGTAATTACACTTTGCTCCACAATGATCTCAGTCATAACAACATATGGCATTTTGTTTTGCCACGTTCTGTAACAGAAAATGTTCCCTTTTCAATTAGGAATCCGCACGAGAAAGTATGCTGCATTTTATGGTTTGGTAAACGTTAGCCACGATGTGCATTAATTAATGTGGGCTTCCAACTGTTACTTCAGCTTTCCTCCGAAGAACGCGTTACCCACTGAGTTCTACCCACCGATTTTTCTCGGCTGGTTTTAAGCCAATAGCTCTGATTTTCTGTGAGTGACAAGCTCTCCACTGATACTGGTTTAAAATCCATCGAGAAAAATTGGTGAGTAGAACTCAGTGGGTAACGCGTTCTTCTGGGAATAGCTGTATGTTCAAGTGAAGCACTTCAACAAAAACCCACCGCTACCAAAAACGTTCGCTCATCAGCTATGAACGGAAAAATAATTTCAACCAGAATTGAAACAACAAAAAAAAAACTGATTGATGATCTACGGCTTTTTTATGACGGAAATTTATTGATGAACTTGCGAGGTCTCGTTTGTCATCCTGGTTGCAATCATTTACCGCAGCGAAAAATTACAGGTAAAGGATAAAGTTTTCCCGAGTTACTCAGGGCTATGCGACAGAAACTCGGTACCAGCTAAAATATTCGTCCCCGTACCCTTTGCCATACCGGAAGGTAGCATTAGGGAAACATTAACTTTTCCAATTAATCTCCTTCCACGACCGACCAGCGCAGTGCCGGTGGACAATCACTGAAGTGTACTCGTCTGCAGGAATTGTGTTTGCAGGAAACTTCTGCTTCTTTTCGATAGCTTTATTACCGGGAAAGGATCCACTTACGGCAAGTTCGCCCCATAGTACACATCAGCAAATCGAGAAAAACGAATTTTATGACTGCTATGTAAGAACCTGGGGTTGTTGTATGATGGGACAACTTGTTTGAACCATTTCATAAAGCTTTTGTTTAGCTAATTTATTTAGTTTAGTAAGTATTGTTACTTGAAAGTACGAGCATTACTGCAAATACAGAATTACCACATACGTAGTTTGGATATATGATGAAAATGGGACCACCTTGCGTTGAACAGTTATATCAAGCTGAACATTACATTAGGTCCTAAGTAACATTGACAGATTCGCTTCGTCGACTTTCTCTTTGTAACTCCACGGCCATGTAAAGACATTCCCAGCCATTTTCAGTACACAGATCGATAAAAGAAGCTTTTATCTAGCATGTAATACGACAAATACAACAAGAAACGGCTTTGTGCTCAAGTTAATAACGAAAGAGAATGTCGATGAAGAGAATCGATCAACGTTACTTAGGGCCTAATGCAATGTTCAGCTTGATATGATCTCACGCTTTTCCCTTATTTTCGCTCCAGTTGATCCCTTTAGGCGACGCGTTGAAAGGAGGACCCGCATAAATGCGAACCATTGCTTGACCTTACCACAAATGGTTAAAAATTATTTATAATCCCTGCTAAACTTTAACTAAAATGGTTATGGAACTTTACATAAACGTTTGTGTATAAAAGTTTAACCTTATGTATTATGTTTTTTTTAAATGAACCTTCCAATAATGGGTTGTTATGAACCATCCATTCAAAATAGTTGTTTTGTCCCTACATTTTCGGAAAGAAAACTACATTTGAACCTTTTTACTTAAGGTTTGAGAATTTTAATGGTAATGGCTATGGTAGTCAGTACATTTATGATTACCAATTCGCTATATATTCCACGTAAAGTTGACCGACAATACAAAACCATCAATTAACCTTACTAAACCATTAGTAAAAAAAATTCTAAAATAGTTTTCTTTCCGAAAATTTTATGGACAGAACAACTATTTTGAATAGTAATGGTTCTTAACAACCCATTATTTGAAAGGTTCACTTCCAAAGAACCTGAATACAAGTTAACACCCGATCCACCAAATCATCAATATAGCACACCGGACGACCGAGCACCTGCGATACGCTGACGCTGCACCACATCGAGGCATTCAACCCGTGAGGAATTCATGCTGCTGTCAACGAGTAGCCGCTGCTTAGTTTGCATTTTGTACTTAACTCATAATTGAAATAAAATCATACTTCACTTCTGTTTCGACCGTCAACGAGTTCGCGTCCTTTTTTAAAAATTCTAAAAGACCCTCCAGGTCTTAACTGGCGCCCGAAGTCGGGACCGTTTTATCCAGTAATTGTATAAGTGTCTAATCACGAAGCTGCCCTGAGCCACCTTTGAGGAGCCAAACGACCGGATCTAACTCCACTTGCTGTCAAATCAGCGACTTGCGTCTTTGGAATCGGCGAATAGGTACACTGGAAAAGAACACCCGCTACCCGTACCAGTGGTTATTGGAGTTTATCGCTGCCACCGACAGGAAATGAAAACCCTGCTCCTGCTGCTACTGTGAGTATCAATTTAACACATAAAGAAATAGTTTTAAGCCAAAACCGCACCGTAAGCTGCTAGTGCGTAAAAAATAATCGCATACTAATTCAGAGGGAGGCGGACTGACCCACAGTATCCAAACCCCTGAAATATCACAAAAAAATACCGCAAACTAACATAACAATTCTCCAAACTTTAACCATCTAAATTCAAAACCATACAAACGCGAAATCGAATACTAATAACACAGCGGCGAAACCGGACCACCCGTAAGTGACCCGCTAGAATATCACAGATAGGCGCGCTACTAACTCAAAACAAACAAAAAATCAATAAAAAAGTGAGTGAAGTGAAGTGAAATTAGCAGTGTTATCTTAAATTTTCCAAAAAATGGCAAATCCAGCTAACCTACATCCAATCCTACAACCCGCACGATTAGTTGTTCCAAATCCCGTTCCCATTCCAAACGTACCGCGTCCAGCTCCACGATATGCGATTGACGCAAACGTAGGGTTCCTCGACAGAGGTAAAATTCCTAGTATCATTAAAGATTTACCCGATTTTAATGGCAACGCACGAAATCTTTCTACATGGATCCTCGACGTTGAAGATTGCCTTGAATTATTCAATGACTTTCGGGATAGTTACGAGTACCATCTCGTGATGAAGACCGTAAGACGAAAAATAAAAAACGAAGCAAACGATATCCTCATTTCAAATAACACTCCAAACGATTGGAGTGAGATAAAAGATGTTTTAAGACTATACTACGCTGACAAACGCGATCTGATGACGCTTGACAACCAGTTAAAGGTCATGTCAAGAAGACCGCAAGAAACCATTGAAACGTACTACAGTAGAGTGCGCGAGATGATAACATTGATCAGCTCCGCAATCTCTACAGACGAAACTTGGAAAGGGCATGAGGCAGCCCTAATCAAGCTTTATAACATGATGGCCCTCGACACGTTCATCCGAGGTTTAGGTGAACCTCTGTCATTATTCTGCAAAAATTACAAACTAAAATCACTACTACTGCGTAGAATTTTTGAATCTAAATGCTCGTAGTGCTCCCTTCAAATCTAATCCTTTGGCACCAATCCCAGCTCCTCGTGGTAACATTCCAGGTCCACCACCCAGACCTGTTCCAACAAATAGATACCATCCAAATGCTCCACCACCTCCACCTAGAAACCATTACCAACCTCCACCAATAAACTTTAGGCAACCATATCCTGTCCAAACCAACCATCAAACTCCTTTCCAAACACATTCCCATAACAAACAACCATATTCCTTCCAAACTCAACATCAACCTCCATTCCGACCGCAAAATACAAATGTTTTTGCCCCAAATAGGACCTTCTACCAACAGCAACCTAAACCTGAGCCAATGGACATAGATAAATCAATTCAATCCCGCATGCTAAATTACGGCAATCGACCAAACTTCAAAACTGCAAGACCAACATCCCAGTCTATGCAGGCTAATAATCCACCTACAAAACGAGTTGCCCATCAACTCGAAGATATTTCAAGAGAGAAATTTGAATTTTGCTGAAGAAATAGAAACTTTCGAACTGTAAGAATTAACAGGACTCCAAGATGAGGAAAATGAGAAAAACGTAAATGTTTTAGAGAACGATACGGAATGGGTGAGCAAATGGTTCGATTGAAAGCCAAAATCTCTCCCCTTCCGTACATCAAAGTCCCTACGGCAAAGAGTGAAATGAAACTGCTTATCGACTGTGGCGCAAATGTAAATTTAATTTCAAAACACTGGGCGTACCACTCTGGTACACCTATTCTAAAAATACCAGATGAACCTGTTAAAGGAGTAACTGGGAAAAGCGTTATCTCGGAAATGGTACATCTTTCGTTATTTGAACCCGTAAGATGTGAACCATAAGATTTTTTGGTTTTTGACTTTCATACCTTTTGCGATGGTTTGATCGGAACCGAATTAATTTTCGGAAAATATTTTAATCACATTTCTGGTTCATCGATCCTACAAGTGTTTGGCAATGACGCAACTCTCAACATTCCCTTACATTTTTATTTTCCCTCCCCTAATCGACGTAAAATAAACCAAGTAAACCTAACTTCAAATATTAGAACCTCACACCTCTCCGAAGAAGAACAAAGTGCGTTAGTCCCAGTTTTAAATTCAATAAAACAAGTCTTTCACAACCCTGATAATCGATTATCATGTACTACAAATGTGGAATGTCATATACGTACAGAAGATGATATTCCTATTTACCAAAAATCCTATCCTTATCCTGTCGCATATAAGGAAGAAGTTAATGCACAAATTTCAAAATT